CTGTATGAAAAGAAATTTGGGATACTGTTTTCTTCAATAAAAAAAATTTAAAACAATAACTGAAGTACTTTTGTTTTTATTGACCTTTCAAATAAGTAAGTTTCTGTGGCGCACACTGTAGTTCCTGCAACACCAACGCAAGACATACCGGAAAACAGTGTGCAACCTGGACCTCTGCTGCCAAAAAGTATGGAAATCAACAAACAAATACCAAATGTGCTTGATGATGACATTTTTGCTGGAACTGGCATAGACATGTCATCACAACCTAAAAATCCTAGAAGTCAGCAGTTCAACTGAGGCAACCTTTACAGCTGCTAGCACATCCACCTGTCCTGACCCACCAAGCATGGCCATTAATGAACAACCAACATCCTCTCAAAAGAGACACACCAAGACTGCTAGAAACTTAAAAAAGAGGAAAATTTAAAATGGCTCATTCAAATTTCAATTCTGTTCAGTGACCCACTGCGCAAGAGTCCCAATTAGAGATAGGTATATCAGTTAAATTGCAATGGTCTAAGAGGCAAAGTATCTGAGCTGAAAATCTATATTTACACCAAAAAACCAGAAATAGTATGTTTATGCGAAACCTGGCTAAAGAAGAACGAGCCCAAATTTCATGGGTATCAATTCTCATGGCTGCATCGACTAGGAGAGAAATGTGGCTTGGGTATTCTAATAAGAGAGGATGTTACTTTTAAACCAAAGCAAGTGATCCCTTTTCCAGCTGGTTTATTGGAGTGTCAGTCCATTGAAATATATACCAACTGCGACTATCAACATTCTGAATGTCTACAACCCCTGCAAAAATATACCATTAGAAGAACTTCAGCAATACTACATCTTGACAGAACCCAGACTGCGCCCTTGGCTCTGCTTAAAGTCCTGCAGGTTGGAATATGCAGCTGCAAGACTCAGAATTGGTCATGCCGGTGTCAAGAGCCATCTATATAGATTCAACATGAGCAACACGGATCAATGTATCACCTGCAATACATCGGATACAATAGCGCATTTTCTTCTGGATTGTCAACGTCATGTGCTGCCAAGACAAGAGCTACAACGTAATTTAAGATGCATTAATGTAGAATTTACTCTATGTAATTTGTTGGGGGGAGGTAACCATAATGATAATGTACAACAGAAAATATTTTGATTTTTTACTCTATTCATATTGAAGTCAGGTAGGATAAGCAAGCTGTAGGTTGCCATGCAAGAGCTGTACACAAGCATGCATGGCAGCCATGCACATGTTTGATTACTGCTGCTACTTATGTTCTATCTACTGTTGTTGTTGGCATATTTATCAAAATCTAGGCGTGTCTTTTAGGTGTTTGAAGTAGGTAGAAAGGCTGTACCAGCATTCATTTACATTTTATGCTTTGCTTCAAATGAGCATTTAGTCTTAAGTCCATTTACTAATACTTGTCTCCTTTAAAACTCCTCAAATCCTATATGGAGCTACCTGAAAACTGATCTCTCTTAAGAGAGAACTGACTAGCTTCCTGTACCAAGAAGCTAAAAACTTAACCAACAAGCTCTCAGGCCCAACGGTCATCCCATCAGGCAGACCTGTGGCTTTATGTCCACCCAGCATGGACCCCCCGCAAAGAAGAAGATTCAGCGTCTTCAGCTTTTAAGTGTTACCCAAAGAGGAAACAGCAAGCCACCTCGTCACTGTAATGCAATGAGCCCCTCTTCCTCAACAGTCAACACTAATAATAAAGTTAGCTATGTTAAATGCCAATGGTCACCTAACTCACCTTTTACTCAACTTAGCAAGTTGACTAAGTCCTAATGATGAATGATCTTATTGATCTACCATCTTTGTCAGAACCACCTGGAGCGCGGCTGCCTTTTTTGAGCCAAAACTGCTTTGCACCAAGTCCCTCCACTCCAAGACTCTAACAGTCTGACATTCTAAGCTTTGAAATTTCCTACAGGCTACTTACCTAACCCTTTTTTCCTACTTAATTCCTACTTAAGTACTTAACCCTTTAGTGACAATGCCAAACCGCCGCCCAAACGCAAACAGACAATGAATAAGACTGACTGAGCACTGAGCAGACTTACTCAGTTACTGACAGCATTGAAAATGACAATGGGAAATGCATTAGAGATCAAAAGGTTAATACTGACAGGCAGAGGCAAGAAATTCATCTACCTTTAGGCTTTTGTCTTTTGAGACCTATTGCCCACAAGTCACAACTAGGGTAAACGAGGTATATTCCAACACTTTAACTTTGAGGATGTAGCAAAAAATGAATGGCTATAAAAAAATCACTGTATGCGCAACTTGAGTTTTGTTTGATTTACATCACCTCAAAACACCGCACTACGCACCAGCAACAATGAAATGTCACAAACTGTTGCCATATTTATTTAATAGCCTTTAGAATGCAAACCTTCCAAATCCATATAGGCCTATTCCAATGCTGTGTGTGACTAAATTTGGCATTTTGTGAGGCTAATTCTGGCCTTGCTTCAGACTACTAATTCATAATTCCAACACTCTTGTGTTTGAATTCCGATTGCTGTGTGAGCTGTATTGGAATATGACACAGCTCAGAGTTAGAAGAAAGTTGAATATTAAACACTACTCAATTTGGCTATTAATTATGAGCTATTAAGCTTTTAATTAAGAAAATTTTAATTTTTGCACACTGCACAAAGCACACAGCTTGGATTCTGAAAATCTGTAGTCAGATTATGAATGATTCTGCCACACACATTTCCGTGTATCATTATGCCATGGAATGAGCTGTGTTTGTCTAATTCCAAGCTGTGTTGGAATTAGTTTTTATGTGTCTAAAACCGTCTCAGGCGTCTCTTAACTTAATCATCTATTAATTTATTTACCACTTGAAATCAGCAAATACAAGTATAGGTACTTGGAGGATTCCTAATATATTCACAGACTTATTTGAAAGTCTCAAACCATAATATTCTTTCTACACAAACAGTTTATCACTATTTGGTAGAGCAAGGTCAACTATCAACTTTGACATGTTTTTCAATGTTCTCACTTGGGGACTTGGATGTTCTCTCTTTTGGATGTTCAATGTTCTCTCTTTTGGATCTCAACATTTTCCTGCCAGATGGGAGATGACCCAGACCTAGTGTTTTGGCAATAGTATGGCACACAATAGTATGATGTCACTATTTCAACCATCAGTGAATGCATGGAACTAAGACAAAGCTTAATATAAAGGGAAAAAGTTGAGAAGTGTCGGAATTACCCACTATGTCAGAATATACCACGTTTACCCTATGTAGAGCTCTCCTGCAATTTTTGGAGCTGCAATATTCACACCAGATGAATTACTTCCATCAACAAAAATGCACAATCAGGTTGCACAATCATTCAGAAGTAGAAAATTTTCTATCTACTAAATATACCATAGTCATCATGGTTGAACTATATATACTAAGGTTGACCCACGAGTAGTTCCGTTTTTCCAGTTCAGCTTTCTTGTTAAGTCACGTAGATCAAGAAACATAAACAAACCCCCTTCATTCCCATGATGGATTGGTTGACTGGTTTTATCGCATTTAGGTGATTGGTTACTGCCCATGACGTTGTAATGGGTCGTCTTTATTAGTTAAGCGAGGGAAGGTATTCAAGGTTCTTTAAAATCTAAAGGATTAAATAAAAGATGGCCTCCCAACTCCCCTTATAGCCATCCCTGTCCACCAGGTGTTTTTCTCTTTTTTGTTCAACTTTATTTACTTCTAATACAAAACTTCATTATAAAGGGACTTAAAATTTAAACCTAAGAGAGTGCTAAATCAAAACCTAACCAACTACTGGATGACTGTTTAGCCATTAACTGGGGAACTGGGTAACCAGATAACTGTATAACTAGGCAACCAGGCAAACGGAAAACTGGCAACTGTACAACCGTACAAACCAACGGGCTACCGGACAACCGGGCAAACGGTCAACTGTACAACCAAACCAACGGGCTACCGGACAACCGGGCAAACGGGGCATGGGTCGCTTATGTGAAGTACTTGAAGATGCTTCTGTAAAATATTCACATTATCAACACCTAACACCCTATTATTAAACACAACATCAATACAAACTTCAAAACATATATACACAATAAACTATCTAGCAGGATAACAGATAAATATATTTCTCATCTATAACGGTATTCTCAAAAACACAACATTAAAATCTTCATCAATGAATATATGAGCAGTGATTAAAAAAGGTATATCTTGGCAACTACTCACCAACCACAGGCAGTAGTGCGAGTACGATATAATGGCAGATAGGAGATTTTGGAATTTTAATCACCACTGACACATGAAAAAATGGTCTGCAAAAAGGGCAAAGAGAATGAGATGGAGAGCACTGACAACACAAATATTGATGTTTACCATTAATTTCAAGATTCTAAAAACAACTACGTTAACTCGGAACTGGGGGAGCGTTACTTCCCCAAGTGGGATCAAGGTAACCACCACTCTCCAGCAGAAAGAGTGACAGCCCATAACAATGGCTGGGATATGGAATTCACGGCTCAAAGAAATGGAATCATGGCTTGCAAATATCTATTTTGATCCACAACTTGATTTTTGAGCCGTGGTTTTATGGATTTGCAAGCCCTGATTCCATTTCTCCAAGCCATGAATTCCATATCTTGGCCATCTTTGGCCATGAAGAGCCATTTCTACATATCTCTATCTATTGCAAAATACAGCATTACCGGTAATTTCTAAGTGTGTTCTGTATCAACTCAAGCCTGCTTTCTTATTATTAATTGTATGTTTAATTCTACAATGGCTGAAATCAAAGTATTTTGTCATAAATTTTTTTGCAATCACATTCATGACTTGAGTGATGAAGGGCAGCTGCGCAGGTTTCCCAATGTGATAGAATAAAAATGTCGCAAAGCTGACTGATGTTAGGATCATCACATCACAAAATTTGTTCATATCATTGTCAATTGTTATGTGCTTGACATTTTTTCCCTTCTAACACAGATCTTCAACTGCAAATTAGGATTCATTATGGAAAGCAATAAAGAGATGATAAATAACATAAAATACTTGGTGAAGAAACTCACAACTTCTGGCAAAGAGGAATTAAATGAATCACTGTTCAAGAAATTAAAAAGCATATGTAAATTATCTGATTTTTATGTAGAAAAATTGTATGAGTTTCTTTTTCAGCAGTTTGCCATGAAACATGCAGAAATTCGTTATAGCTGTTTCCAAATTTGTGATGAAATTTTTAGAAAATCACATCATTTTCGGATCTTAACTCTAGAAAATTTCAGCAATTTAGTTGATCTTGTGCTTGGTAAGAGCCCGAAAGAACCTGGAATAAAGCCAATTGAGGTCTGGAAGAAATTGAAAAAGAAGGCTATCTGTTCAATAAAGCAGTGGCATGACAAATATGGGCATTCATATCATGAGCTTGTACTAGGATTGGAATACATGATGAAAAGAAAAAATGTTGATTTTGAAACAATGACTGCAATGAGTCGACAGGAGAGGGAGCAAGAAGATGAGAGAATACGCACTCTTGAAATGACCAAATCCAAAAAAATTGAAAATGTTAGGAAATCTTTGATAGAAAATGAAGTCCAATTAAGAAAAGATTTATTGTCTTTCAGAAATTGTTTCAAACTCCTCATACCAGATGTGAATGAATTCTTCATTCCTCTATCTGATGATGGCATGGTGAATGACAAGTCTAGTCATTCCTCTGAAACAGTCACCAAGTTGCCATGTGATGTACCTACTCCTCCACTTTCCACATTTGATTTGGAACTTCCGGGAACCACAGCAAAATTTGATGAAGTAAATGCTGCTGTCTCCTCTGAATCCAGTGAAGGATCTACTGACCTCTATGGGTCTGATTATGTACGCAGTGCTGGTATCCTCAAGGATACCTGCATCAAAATTGATCTTTCTGCCATCAAGCAAATTCATGAAACACCCGACAACCAAAGTGTTGTGGAGAACCTCAAAGACTTGATAAATATTTTGAGCACTCTTTGGCTCCCAAAGCTGAAATCTCTTCATCAGTCAATCCTGCCATATGCTGAGAGCTGTACAGAAATCCTCAGGCAACTAATTACGCTTAAAAACTCTGTGGATTCAGCCATTGAACTATACACATCTGTCACCATTATTCCACTAAGTAAAAAGCTTTACAAGTCTGCAGCTAACTTAGACCACAATCCTAGATCAGTTTCAGATGATGAAGATGAGGATGATGATTTTATTGAAGTTACCGACGATGATCCTCGGGTGTCCAATGCCCAGCATTCTGAAGCTGAACTCCTTGGATTGCTTGACAACTTGGCCACCTCAAAGCTCAATGGATGGGTGTCAGATTTTGGTGCTGGACCATCTGGCTTGGCAGCCGGCAATGTGGCTGTTCACGCTGGTGCTGACAATTACAAATCTAAAAACACTAAAGACAATCAGCCATCAAATGTTCAGTGTGATGCCAAGTCTCTTACACCTGAAAGCTTCACAGGAAAGTGGAAGCCACCTACTCTGCATGTTAACCCACTAGCTGGACTGAATCAGGTACCTATAAAAATGTTTTCTCTATTTCAGTTTGATAATATACTCCATGTTGTCAAGTTACTGCCTTATGTCTGAAATACAAGATTTTTTATTCATTATTTGTTGGTCATTTTTGATAGTAGGTATATTTTTGCTGAGTTTCTCAATCCACTATGGGAGAATTCTAACTCTAACTAAATTGATTATTAATTTTGCTGTTCACCTGCGTAGGTGTGGGTGAGTCGTGATGAGGAAGTGTACAGCTCCAGCCTGCTGGGTAGTGGTGTGCTGGGCATAGCAACTACAGCAGTTGAAGTGCC